ATATATATATATATATATATATATATATAGAAGGTGAGGGAGGGCTTTAGACCTCATTTGGTCTGGCAGTTATGTGATCACGGCTAGTGTCCCTGTTGGCGACGCAACATGCACAACAGGGCTCACATAATACTTGTTGTTGCTCGCCTCGTAAATGGGATGAAGTCGGAGTGTTCCAGTCAAGAATATTGTGGTATTACGCTTCACGGTATCGCGAACCTGAGTGTTGATATCACCAGAGCAATACACAGTGACTGTTTCTTCTTCCCCACTTTTCTCACCTTGGACAAACACAGTGATATGGGATACACTTTCCATTGTCTGTGTAACGTCAAGCACGCGGCCAACAATTGTAATATTGCTCACACACTGAGCATGTGGGATTAACTCAGTTTCCACCCATGAAGCACTGACGGCGGTTTTCGTTCCAAACGGTGATGTCGATGAAAGATCAACAGGACTTGGAATGTATGCAGGTAAATCAGGTACGCTGCGTCTTTTTTGTTTTCCATCCTTCTTATTTTCACGTTCAAGAATAGCCCCATGTTTGGCTTTGCTATGCATGACAAGTCCATCAAAGGTGGAGAACGCCTTACCGCATGTGGGGCACTTTTGCTCTACAGGAGCACTCTGCTCCTTTTGGACGTCTGACGCCAAAGTTGGAAAACCCATGGCTATGGGGAATGCGGTGGACGGGGCTGAGGCATCTTGAAGAAAAGGACTAGATACAACATTGGCACTAAATGGTGAACCTGCCTGCATTCCAGGTGCAGCAAAAGGTGATGCTGCTGTGAACGGTGTCGATTCAAAAGGCGTAGCAGTAGTGTCAGACGTGGAAGTGAAAGGCGATGCCACTTGACCAGTAAATGGTGAATCAGCCACTGCCGATGTGAAGGGAGAGGCAACCTCTCCAGGGTCCGAGACGCTCTGCTGTAATGGCATTGATGCAGTGGTCTCTTTCGGTGACTGATGTCTGCCAAACATTGGCAACTGTCCAAATGGTGTTATTGGCGCAGCAACAGGCTCTTCCTTTGGCACAGACTGTTGCTGTTGCTGCTGCGGCTGCGGCTGAGCCGTTTTTGGTGTCTCGCGCTGCACCATTGACACTTTTACAAAGGGATTTTCCACCCTCCCCGCACGGAAAGGATTCAATGTGCGATCAGGTGCTGGCGCAAATGGAGCCTTCAAGTCCACCTCTGTAAACCCGTGGTCGCCAACATAGGCGTCCGACGCCGCACTTGCAACAACGTCACCCATCTTCTCAAAGGGGTTATCACCTTGGGGCGTAACAGGCTCATAGAGGGGCTGTTCTGGTATATCAGGACGTGCAGCGAAGACCTTCATCACCATTGTGCTGTGAACAAAGCTCCCTTCCAATCTGTTAAGTCCAATTTTGTCCCACAAAACAAGGAGCTCTGCCATGTCGGCATCTGGCACCTCGCGATCTGGTTGATGAAGCGGTTTCGGTGTGGGCCTCATGCGACGCGGACGTCGTTCCTCTTCCTCCGAAAAATTCCTTTCAATAGGGGTGGAAGGCGGCGTTGAGGGCGCGGCAGTGGAAGAAGCTTCAACGCCAGGGCCCGGGCCGGCCTCCACCAAACCGTCGCCCCCGTGCGCCTGCTGGACGTGTAACTTTGCCGCCATCTCGAGGCGAAAGGCTTTTTTACAGACGCTACAGTGATACTTCTTGTCCGAGGATGATTGAAATCGTTCCTGGCAATTCAGTGCTGGTAAGAAAAAGCAATTGCCATCGTTTAGACGCTTGACACTGTAACGCGCTTTCACAACGCACGCTAGCCATCGTGCACCCGCTCTCCGGGAGCATTTCGCCATCACGCCACCAAGCAACCACCGATGCATCGCCTCTGAAATCATGGGGGAAGAGGACAAAAAGAAGAAGAAAAAGAATGCGACAGCTCCAAAATAACAATAAGGACAAAACAATAAACAAAAAAAAAGAACAGACAACGAGAAAAACTGGCGCAACACCATTATCACCACCAATGACACATCTCGCGTCACAGTGTCGCAAGAAGAACCAGTGAACCAAACTGCTCAGAGACCAGCAACTCTGTGTCCTCCACATATGTACCATGAATGGGAACGAACCTAGGCTTCTTGTACATTTTTGCCACAACGTGCACAAGCGCACCCTCTCTTAATTCAGCCATACTAAACTCAACAAAGGGGACACCCCTACACTTCAAAGTGAGTGCTTCTTGACTACACACTACGTTCGGCTGCGGCAAACGGCGCGGTGAGGACCCACATTCTGTCAAAAGTAAGCGGCAGGTCCACAAGGGCTCCCCAAAAGTTGATCCCCTACACGGCGAGCGCACAACGCCCACACAACAATGTGTTGCAAAATGAGACCAGCGACTGAGTGGCAGTACCGGGCTTGGCGACATTTAGGCTTCTAACCCGCATAAGTGTAAAAACAAAAAAAAACAATACGAAAACACAATAATTACAAGTGGCCGTGAAGGATGCCATAGTCCTTAACAGATGCATTTGTTTTACCGATATTCTCCCCCGCCACCCACACACAGACGTTTTCGTTCAGTCAAACAAATAACTTGTAGTCCCTCCTCCGCCTTTTATATTCACACCATTTCATTTTATGTGAGGAAAATGGGGCAACTTCACGACAGGTTGTTGTTGTTGTTGTTGTTTTTTTTTTTACTATCATGGAAAATGTCAGAAAGGAATAAAAACAAAAAGAATACCCCTCCATCTAGCTAAAAGGGAGAAAAGAAATAACAATAACATTGCATACAGCAAGAGTCGCAAAAAAAAAAAAAAAACTGGTTTCACGAGTCATGGGTGGCAGTTCCCTTCACAAACGAAGCACCGCCTTGTTGAACTCGATACTGGTGGTAGGCCGCTCGAAGCCTCATGGATAACTCATGAAACGCAGGCAGCGAAACGCTCCCCTTACTATCAGAGAGCACCACCGTTTGCTGAAGCTCAGGGGGGACGACGATACCCATTTCCCAGCAGTCAACCGGATCGGCGGCGAAGGGAAGCACATTATGCTTGTATGCATCCATAAGAAACTTGTCAACGTGAGCGGGTTGGCGTTGTAGTTGTTCTCTCTTTTCTTTCTGCCAGAAATCCAGGAATTGCTCACGATACAGTTGCCTCTCAAGGAGGATTCGCTCCTTGGCCATTTCAGCCGTTTTTAGCTCGGCCACTTGGATAGTGCGTAACTCCGCAGCAAATGGAGGGAAGCGTTGTGTCCATCGTTTCATGATTATGTTCATTGCATTTTGCTCCTCTTTTTCAAGGCTGCGCCGCCGCGTCACCTCGTTATTCAGGAGGGAGTGAACAACTTCTCCAAAATGGACAGGCCTAGGTTCGTGGTCCACCACCTCCAATCGCTGCCGATACGCTCTTGCGAGGGCAAAGACCCTCTCGTAGGACTCCTCAGGCAACTCCTGCCACACACCCGTGCTGTCGCAATCTGAAGAAGAGTGAGGAGCCTCCATTTCGACCATTCAGCCTAAAGCAAACAAAGAGAAATAGGGAGGGAAGACAGAAAAAAGAGCAACCACTTAAGAAGTCTTTAAAAACAACAAACAAGTAGATTATGCTGCCTCTCCTTGAGAGGCCTCCAAGCAATCTAGTCCCTCACATCCTGCCAAATCAACAAATAACATAATTGGGCAAAGCTCAAATTGGGAAACAATTGAGGTTCGTGTATAAACAGACAAACAAACAAGGAAAATGATAACATATATCCTTCAGCTGCCCACGGATCCACAATTGTCTTCTTTTGTTTAGTTTATCTACGTGTGTGTGCTCTTGTGTGGAGGGTTGCCTCCAATATGGGAGGCAACTTCATTCAAAACCCAAGCTAAGTGGTTTGAAGCGCACATATTACACAAAGGCACAGCGACACTACACCACCTGCTTCCCCTCTAGAGATCGCCCTCATCCCCATTCTTTTCCTTATTCTCATTCTTGATTTTTTCTGGGATCGGTGCATCCTTTAAAGCTGAGCTATGCTCACGTACAAATTTGTACATGTCATCGAAACTGCGTTCTCCCTCGTAGATGATTGGCTTTTTCCCATGGGGAACGAAGTATATGGTCGGAAACCCAGAAACCTCAAAAACGGACTGGTTGACGTGGTTGGCGGTAGCATCCATGGCCGCAATGATAACATTCGAGGACTCAAGCTCTTTTGCCAACTTCGCGTACGTTGGAGCCAAGTTCTTGCAGTGACCACACCATGGAGCAAAGAACTCAATCAAGATGTCTTTTCCAGATGATAGGTGCTTATCTAATGTCTTTGCCACGACAGTGGTCAACCCCTCAACCGTTTCAACTTCAGGTATGGGCTGAGATTTGATCTCTTTGGTTATTTTACCCTCAGAAAACCCCACAATAAACTTTTCAATGCTTTCTGCAGTCACCGGTTCAGCAGACGGATGAACAAAGTGATCTTCACCTTGAACAATCGCAAACGCAGGATATTTTGCATCCTCCGGGAGGCCAAGGCTTGATGCCACCCCGTATTGGTCTGCATCTGCCCAAAGGAGCACCACCTGACGGCGCATTCTCCTTCCCAAATCCACAAGTTTGGGCTTCAGCTCCTGCGACTCCTCCCCGCTCGGTTTCAATAAGACCCAGCCCACCGGAAATGATATGGCAGCGTAATTCATGTACGTCTTCGGGTTGATCTCCCCCGCGAACGGCAGGAAGGAAACCGCCAAGAATGAATTTAACTCCTTTACCTCCATCGCCCCTTCATAAATCTCTTTTTCCCCACCCTTTCTGAAAACAACGATAGATTCCAGTTTCTCCTCGGGGAGGATCTTTGAATCTGTGATAACTGCAAACTTCAACTTCATCCTTAGGTTCTTTGCAGAAGTTTCCAACGCCTTTGAAAGGGCAGATTCTGTGTCCGAGGTCACCCCCACACATACAGCATCATGCTCTTCCTTTAGCTTTGCCAGCTCTTCAGCACTCGATGGGTAAACGACTGCGGGCCCAACGTTTGCCTTCACGTAGTTGATAAGATCAGTGCTTTTGCGGGCCCCCTTGTAATGTTCCACCTCTTCACCGTCCCGGAAGAGAATAATTGTGGGAAAACCTTGAATAGAGTATTTCTTGGCCAAGTTCTTCTCTTTCGTGCAATCGACATCCACCATGATCGCCTCGCTGGGAATTTCCTTGGCTGCCTTTTCCCATTCCGGGGCAAGCTTCTGGCAATGTCCACACCACGGAGCGTAAAACTTCACCAGCGCAACTTTACTCCTTGCAATGACGCTGTCAAAATTTTTATCGGTGGCTGCCACAACCTCACTTCCCTCCACCCGAAGCGAGCAAAGGAGAAGAGTGGCGAGTAAAAGAAAACGCATCATCCCTGTGTATGTTCTTTCGCTTAATAAATATTATTCTCTTGCTCGCAAAAACTTTAAAAAAACAACAACATAAAAAGGCAAATAAAGGACCAGGTGAGCCCACTGTGCAATCTCCGCGGCAGATGCGACACTACGCTGAATACAGAATGCATTCAATGAAATATCAAAAGGCACCAAAGTCCCTCCTTCTTGGAGCAGGCTCCCCCCCACCCACCCCCAGAAAAAAAGAAACCACAATAACAACAACAATAACGCGGCCGGCAAAAGCAAGCAAAAAAACACGTTACATTCACGGACAATTTCAGCATCACGCCTCAAGCGTCACAGCCAACGAGTCGCACAAGGATTTCAGCTTCCTGTTTTCACCTTCAAGCTTGTGACTTTCGCGTTGCTGGAGTTCAATCTCATGTTTGAGATCCCTCAGCTTCAGCGCGTGTTTCTCCATCTCCGCATTCACATTTGTCCTCAACTCCTCTATCATTCGTTGTAGCTTTGTTCGCTTTACTTCAAACAATTTTAGCTGTTCACGAAGATGGTTCTTTTCCTCCTCGACATCGGCAGATCTGCGGAGAGTGTCACTAGCAGAGACGGCAGCCTCCCGTTTGGAGTCCCCACCCTGAAGAAAGTCTGAAGAATATTTGGTGTCACGAAGCGCGTCCCACAGTTGCTGATTCGCGCTTTTAACACTCTCAACTTCTTCGCGAAGTGCTTTGCGTTCCGCTTGTATTTTTTCAACTACACCAAGGGTGGCCTTTTCATGATCTTCGCCAAGAGTCGACAGTTTTCGCCGTGAATCTAAAGTAAGTTCATTGGCTCTCTGCTTCTTCAGCTCAATGATATCTGCCACCTCCCGCTTCTTTCTCAAGCAATACCCAATTGCCCTCTCGCGCTCACGAGAAAGCTCGCGTATAGCTTTCAGTACCTCCCGCGCTCTTGCATCCTCCTCCAGCGGAACGCGTTGTAGGCTGCGACTTAACGAAGTGTGTAGATCATCCAGCATGGAAATAAGCCTCACCAAGGTGAGTTGCCGTCGGGCATCCACATCCGAAGCAGAGCCTCCACTCAACGACTCTACCTGCGTCACAAGCTCTTGGACCTGGCCCTCCATTTCCTTCAGTCCGGAATCGGCTTCGGAGAGTTCCCGCACATATTCATCGCGCGGTAGACGATCTCCTGATGTTGTCTGAAGTCTTGCTAGCTCTGTGTGCGCTATCCGATTATCAGCCACTACATTTTCCAGTTGCATCTGAGCCTCCCGCAACTCCTCCTCACTTTCCTCAAGAGCCTTCTCGGCATCGACAACTGACACCGATACCAGGGCCATTTTTTGGTTTCTGTCTTGCAGGAGCTTCTCTTGAGCTAACAGTGTGTCCTCAATTTCCTGTAATTGTTGTTTTAACACCCTCACAGCCTCTTCCTGTTTTTCATCCATTTCGAGATGGACTCTTGCCAACCTACAACTTTGTTATTCGAACAACAAAAAATAAAATCAGGGCGGTGCTGTGAGACGCTGGAACAACATAAAAAAAAAACAAGAATACATCACGGCATCAGTGAGAGCAAATACCTTCAGCGGCAGTGCATTAATCCAAAAAGGAGTATCTCAAGAACACGCAAAAAGACTTTCATGATTTTGGCTGGAGAGCCAACGCATAATGGAACCCCATCAGGCATCTGTGCTCTTCCACCAGCGAATAAAGACCATCTTCCCTGATCCACTTGTTATAGTCGTGTGTTAGATGCATGGAGCTCCTCGTCACGGAGTTGAACCAGCGCACGAGCGACAGGAGTGTGGGCCAAGAGGGTCTCCCAAAATCCATCAGTAGTACGTAGCCGTCTTTTCTGACATACGTTGAGGCGGCTTTCAACATCTGATGCGCATCCTCTTCAGTTCTATTTAAGAGCTCATTTCGGATCACGACAGTGTCGTACTTGCGAAAATCAGGCAGTTCTGTTTCCCTCCGTTCAACTACATCAAAAACAATTGTACTCCCAACCCAGTTGTAATCGTTTTTGACCATAAAATCCAACGTCATGGCCTTCCGCCGTTCCGCCTGCACGGCTTCAGGAAGGGACTCATCAATTTTGTATCGTCCATCATCAACGACCTTTTGATCTACGATAAACTCCACACGAACTGCCTTCGACATCTCATAAAAACTAACATCCTTGGCATCCGCTATTTTTGGCGTCAGATCCAATACCCGACCACGGCAATAAGTCCCGTACATGCGCCTCAAGGAGCGGTACATAAGGCACTGCGGAATCAGGCTAATCCCCCACACTAAGGCAGCCCCACCAAAACACGTTGCCAAAAAGATGTTTCTCCCGCGCACCACCTTCGCATATTTTTCCCGCGGTATGGCGACTGGCTCGTACCCAACTCCTTCTGCACTGTTTGCATTAAAAAATTTTTTTTGCATTGCAAGCGAGGCTTCAATGGTCAACTGCCTCACCTTAGAAAAGAAATACTGAGAGCAGAGAGTAAAATGAAGGCAAGCAAACAAACGAACAGACAAAACGGTAAAACAGGGACGCCAGTAAGAGGTATTGTTACCTCCACAAACGTCACATATGTAGAAACAGGCAGACGTAGTGACAATCAATTCGTCGTGGATGACACACTGTCACTCAATACGAGACTCTCAGTTCACCTTATCCCTCAATTGTGACGAGCAAATGCAAAGCCCCAGTAACACATTGTCAATGGGTCCAGCGGCAATCCGTTAAACCACTCTATTCTAAAATGAGCAAGCCACGATGATGGATCCACAGAGAGGGAACGAGATGCACTCAGCCATCTCGAGGTCCTATCAAATGTAAGAAAGTCAAATAGAATCCTGAGAGGTCGTCGGTGACTATGATCCGTGCGCCCCAACAACTGGTATTCGCTCGCCTTGTCGCCCAGCTGACCATCCACACATCGAATGTCGTTAAAAAAACTACGACACGGCTGCCGCTCTTGAAGCGTCCACGATGCTTCAAGAGCGTAAAGTGAACCCATTAACATACTAACTGCCCTCCATAAAAGCCACTGCGTGTGATTAGTGCACAAAGCACCGCAAAGAGCACCAACAGATGCATAGTACACGCCAGTAGGATTAAATGCACTGTTCAGCGTTCGACAAAGAACAGCCCGCTCTCCAAGATTTGGGTCATACCTTTCCCTTTCAATTCGTCTGAGTAGATCCAGAAAGGCATGCTCCTCCAGTACAGACATCCACCTTACTCCTTTCGGCAAGGTCACCCCCGCCTCTAACAAGACGACAAGGAGAGGCAACCATAAACCGAAACAAAGAAAACATGCAAAGAAAGAGAGAAACATAAATAAAGACAAATTAATGATACGCGAGTTAAGCAGCAAAAACAAAAACCAATAAAAAAGCACGTACACAGAGTAATAACAACAAGAACAGTATATGTAGAGAAAACCAAATTCATTTCATTGCCAATTTTGGGTTGGAACGCACAAACAGCGTCGCGATTACCTCTCCTTGTTTCTAATTAGTGCTATTACTCTTAAAATGGTGATTATGTGATCCTTTTTAATTAGTAACTTCCTCTACCACGTCCGTACCCGCGTCCACGCCCACGTCCACGTCCTCTGAATTCACTGTCGCGCACGCGCCTCTCCGAGTACTGTGCGACTTCAACCACGCTTTCTGCGATTCCCTCCACCAAATACTGAAGCCGAGAAGTGTTGCTTCGGTCAACGTGAAGGTACTTGTCTTCCCTATCCCAAAAAGCTACGAGTGAGCTGTTGCTTTCCGAGATAATATCGTTGATAACACACTTTACTTCATTCTCGGTTAACTCGTACTTCTTCATCATCAGATCGACAGATATCGCGGCAAAATTGCACCGATGATTATAACAAAAAATACGAAGGGCTGCTTCTTTTAAATGCTGTAAATAAATTTTAAGCCCTTCGTCACCATTTGGCATCTTGGACCATGCCGACATATTTTTGATGATTTCACTGGCTTTAGTATAATCCCCAAGTTTTAGCTCCATGTAGGCGGCCGTTACTTGCTCTCTGAATTCCACCGGTTTGCCCAATAACGGTTGATAGGACATTTGATTGATTATCCGGTAGAAATAGCTTTGATGACGGCTGCTTTCATAAGGTTTTTTAGCCTCCTTTGGAGTATCCACCACAAGGGTGGAAAGCATTGTTGCAAGCTCCAACTGAGCATGCTGAATGTAAGCATGAGGAGGCACCAGCAAATCACGGTACATCAACTCCTTTTCCTCGCTGTCCCTCACGTAATCTGGCATCCTTTGGCTAATCAGAACGTCATGGTTTCGATTAGACCACAAAGGGCTGAGGAGGTTGTAGGCTTGGATGACATCACCTGCTGCAAAAGAAGCCAAGCCAAGTTGCGCAATAACCCTGTTGTACAGAATAGCAAGATGGACGGACTTGTCTACGGTTTCTTTCAAACTGGAGCGAAGCACAAGGTCTCTTCCCTCTTGATAATCTCCCTCCAATCCCATCTGGTATGCGAGGTTAAGAAGGGCACGACACTTTGCCTCTTCATCTCCAATAATGAGGAGTTGTTGATAAAGTTCACGGACTGTTTCAATGACTGAGCTAGTGACAATGTTGCGAGTCTGTCGAGCCATTTTATTATAGAGAATGTCGTGAGCCTGTTGCCGTCTCAAGCCAAGGATATCAATAAGAATTTGACAACAAATCGCCTTTCCGCGTTTGCGCTGCTGGTAGTAACCAAGAACAGTGTCTGTCAGGTCCACTAGTTGATTCTCCAACTGAATGATCTCAAAGTACTCATCAGTGGCACCTGTTTTAAACTGCGCAATGCGCTGTAAATGAATTTGCAGCTTTTGCAATAAACCACACAAACCATCCACAATTATAGCCCGCTTGCTTGTGAGATCTCCGGAAAAGTCTTCTTTAACTGCTATTGCTGGATTCTCCGTTACGATTGAATAACATCGGCTCACAGCAGCAAAAGACTTCGTCCAGGTGGTGGTGGCAACGTAGGGCAACCGCGTATCTTCTTCAAGGAGTGCTTCGGCAACAATTCCCAGGGCTGTAATTCGAAGTGCTGTAAAACCCTTTTTCTTGCTCTCTTGAGCAAGCTTCTGACATCTCGCAGCCCGTTTCCCTTTTTGCACCAATGATTGCTTCAATTCCTGTGCGATGTCTTCCTCGGTAAACTCCTTTTCTCCTTCAGTCTGTCCTTCATCTCCAGTGTCTTCTTCACTTTCCTCGTCATGTAACCTTTCGATATCGTGCTTGTACGTTTCGGTCAACTCTTGGAGAGCCTTTATTAGCCTTTTCAGACTATGAAAGTCCTCTGGCCTTTTAAAAGTTTCTTTCTCATTCATTTTTTCGGATAGGTCAGGTGTGTTCCGAAGACATTCCAGAAACGGCCAAGGGATCGCCTTAAATTTTTCCTTATGCGCCAACGCCTTTTGTCGTAGCTGAACGAATGCCTTTTCTGCCTCACTCCAAGACTCATGGTCAATGTTGAAATCAAAAAGGTCACATATATTCTGAATTTCATTCAATGACTTTTCATTGCGGGACAGAACCACCTGCCTCTCATCCGCATCCTCGTCGTCAGTGACCTCAAACCACTTGGGGTCAATATGAACAACCTGCCTTTCCACCTGCTCATCGTGATGGATGACCTCGTCGAGGCTCTCATCACTGTCGCTGACGTCGAAAAAATGGCTCATGTTGTAAATAAAAAAAAAAAAAAACTAACTACACGATTCTCAAAATGACAAAAAATAAATAAATGAAGAGCAAGATCAGCACCACCGAAAATCAACATACAACAATGGAGGTAAAAATAACAACTACATCAAAAACCAGCAACTCTGAAAACTCTTTCTTGTCTATCTCCACTGCTGTGATGACTCTAGCAATACCAATATCATCAGTTACAAGTCAAAACTTCAAGGCATCGCTGATGTGTAAACCCCCGTCCAGTAAGCCACAACGCACTTGCGTACCTTCCCCCTTCGAGAAATAGCCCTTGATGTTTCATTCGTATTGCTTTTTGTGACTTTTGGCGAAACAGTTCCTGGGAAGTAAAGGATATATACTTCTGTATTATACAATATCATCTTATGCATTGCCCTGTCTCAGTCCATCTTGTACCTCCAAAGATACAGATGGGTCTAACAAAAACAACAACCGGTCAAGAAAAGCACAGACAATTCGTAGCTCAGAATCTGTTCTGTCAAGCGCAATCCAACTTTTATATTGCATATGATGCACTTCCCTTATCATTTCTTCAAACTGCATGGTGACGCCTTTCAAAACGAAAAACCAAAGGATTCAAAAGACAAATGTATATTTACTTCCATACACTCAAATCTGTTTCAAATATAGTACCGAGACGGGTTTTCCATAATAGTCAATGCGCCCGTCAAACAACTTCTTGATCATCGTTGATATCCGTTGGCTTTCAAAGGAAACGACGGTGGTGGTTGAATCAATGGACACAAGTTGCTTCACTCCCTTAACATGCTTCAAATTCAACTCCACCCAAAAAGATGAGGCACCCCGCAGGATCAGAGATTGAGAAGGTCTATATGTCACACGGCACCCCGGTATATCCGAAGCTGGAGCTGTCGTAATACTTATCTCTATTGCCTCACCAAAAAGCAGAAATCCATTCAATTTTAAATATGCATCCTGGGCAGATGCAGATTCCATGTATGAAACGAGTGTTTCACCACGAGAAACATCAATAAGAATGTCATACACTACACCATATTCAGCAAAACAACGCAGTAGAGTCAATCTACAAAACTCCACACCGAAATGAAACACCAGGTTTCGAACTCGAAGTGTTTCCATTTAATTATTTATTTATCCTGCTTTTGGAAGTGTCTGTGTGTACCGTGAACCTGGGACCCCTCCAGAAATACAAGCTCAACCAAAAGAGCAGGTATAAAGAAATGAAACTCAAGATCCGCAACAAAGTAGAAAGGATCCTCATAGTGTCTCAAATAGTGCATCAAAAACAACTTTAACACCCGGAAAAGCCATATATAGTCAACAAACGTTAGATCCAGCAATTTCGGAGACACGTTTCGCAAAAAAAAAAACAATAGTAACAACGACATCATCAAAAACACACCAAAATGAAGGTAAAACTAATGCAACGATGTCCACATAAACGATTTAATGTTCAACTTTCTACCTCTTTTTGCCAAAGCTATGACACCTGAAGGAAGGTGTAGTAGAGGACGATTTTTTGTTACAAAGAAAACTGCGTTAAGCTGATGAAGCGCCACAGCAACATCTTCTATTGTCATTCCACTTTCCCAAGAAAGCGAATTCAGGGTAAGCGGTAACCCTTTCTCATTAAGCGAAGCTACGGCTTGAAGCAGTTCCTCTTGCCAGATTCGATTAAATACCCTCTTCCCTGATGCACTCAGTGGTCTCTCGGGAGAGCCTGGAATTCCCTCTGCCCTTCCCATTTCGTAGGATATCTCAATTAAAAGCGTCCCGTACCCTTTATGGCGGTACGGCGGCAGCACCATCACACACGAAAGTGAATTTTTACAATTCATACTCTTTCTCCATTCCTTACTAAAATATCCAACAAAATGATAACCATAATCATCAACCTCAAACAGTGCAATAAAAGCAAAGAAATGTAGATCGTCCAAGGTAGTCTTTTCCTCAAGAAAATGTTTGGCAATTCTGGCAATGCGCCTGCTATAGGGAATAGAGGCCACTTTTCTTCCATCGATTTCAAAAACAACACACCGTCGCCTACGACAACGATAAACCTCGTCTCCTGGAATCCAAAATCGATTTGGACACAGCTCTATATGTTCTCGCAGCTCTTGTGCAGTGGATAACCATGAAAGACACGCCTCACACATAAAGATCTCAGTTTGCACCTCTGTGTCCTGAAATCCACAAGGCACATACTCCGACGCATACTCACTAAAAAGGGTCTTGAAGCTCACGCCTTCCATTCTTGCAAGTTTCATTATCTTTCCTTTTGGAAACAATAAAAAAAAAAGGGGGTGGGGGTAACAACTGCAAAGTTACATAATAAATACTGAAGAAGAAAATAACACGCAGAATCAAAGCACATTTCCCTAATACACACACACACAGGACAAAAAAAAAAAAACGTCAAAGAAAGTTTCCACCATAATCATTGCAGGTTCTCAATATCCACTCTCTTTCAAACGCATAAAACTTCCTAAAACCATGGGAAAAAGAAACTACTACTAAAAACCCAACAACCCCCAATTTGAAATCCTTTCCTATTTTCCTAATGATGTCCTAGCTCTACGGCACCTGGTGCCGGCCTGAGGGTTGCCGGGCCAGCTGCATAGCCCTCACCAATATCGAAGGCAAAATCCCACGGCTTTCTGTCCTCTTTCCGCCATCCGTAGTCAAGGTGACTTGGGCCACCACCAGCAATATCATCCAGTTTGGCCCAAAATCCATCAAGCATAATAGCGCCAATAATCAAAAATGGGCCACTGACACAAAGAGCCATCCAATAATTCTGCCCCGGCTTGTGGTAAACCTCGCTTGTCCAAAACCCAACGCCCCGAAGACCGAAATTTGGACGAGCCTTGGCCTTCGCATTGAAGGCATTTAGGTAACTTCGCCTACTGTTACACAAAGCAGCGCGAAACATCTTTCAAAGCCCCTCTTCCCTTACGTTTATTCAATACCTTTAATAACAAAAGTATTATCAATACTATCAATAAATCATAATGACAACAATGTGACAAAAAAAAAGAAGCAAAAAAAACTAGATTAAGATAACAGCAAAACAACATCCAAAATCAAAACCAAAAAAGCATTCCTAATAATAATAATAATATAACGCACAACAAAAAGGTACTTCTTAAACAACCAAACCCTTTCATGAAAGAATGAAAAAAGCGCGGTGGAAATAACAAATTAAAGTGAAATAAAAAGTCTAATTCAAATAATAGTAATAATATCTATATGTGACGTGCGGGCGCGACCAATGCCACATTTTTCTAATAACTGAGAAAAGGTGCGCCAGGTCAAAAGTAAAAACAAGAAAAAAACAAAATAATAAATAACGACCTCCTTTCTATCCACAACTTTTCTATGTGTTCCCAAGAAACTTTTTCTAATATTTCACACATTTGCATTTCTTTCACCTCTCCCCCTTTTTAAAATTTGTTTCTATTTCATTTTCCCTAATCTAGTCTTGTGCCCGCACCTTTTCCATCCAAATACGGCATCCAAACTCCCGGTAGAGCTCTTTAAGCAGTTGTACAAAGTCAATGCGTGACTTCGCGGAATAATAGAACGTGAGCTTCTTCTTATCAAACTGGTACTCAGCATGACGTATTTCCATATCAAATCCGTGACGGCAAACGCGTCGTTGACAAAAAGAAACGGCAACAGCCTCGTCTTCCTTGAGGTCAGTGGCCCAGTAATCCACCTCTCGCTGTGTTGCATGGCGGAGAATACTTCCCGTTGGCCCAGAGCGTTCCACATATGTTTTGCAACTCTCGGTATTCACACGGATAACAACCCCAATATCAATCCCCCTGTCACCCTGCACCACAACATATTGACCTTTGGCGGCAATAAAAGGAGAGGAAAACTCCTTTTGATGACATTTAAATTGGACAAGTGCGTTGCAAACAGGAGGCATGGTTGGTGTCGGTGGAGCTTCATCTCCTTCTGCAAAAAGCTCTTGTGTAGCAGGAACCCTTATAGTGTTCACTCCCTCTGAAAGAAATGCCGCACATGAAGTTGCTGTGGTTTCCTCAAGGCATTTCCAACCGTAGGGATTATGGCGTTTGATCGCAACTGTTCCTGAAGTAGTGCCGGAACTGGTTTTTATATATTTACCAGGAAACGTGGTCTGAACATTGGTGATATCTGAAAGTGGCAAGAACATTCTAATGCAAATACTTTCCCTTTACAAATGACTGCGCAGCGAAAGAAGCAAAAAAGAATAAGGCAATACCCCATATAAAACGGTAGAAAAAAAATAACAATTAAATAAATAATAAATGAGTTAATATTACCAAAAAATAAAAGAAGTAAACACATAAGTAATACGAGTACTAATTATTATTAGTAAATAAATATATACTACATTCAGGATAACAATGAAAACATCCGTAACCATAGAATAGTTACTTCAAAAAAACTCACATTGCTAAAAGGTTTAAAGACAAAATTGAATAATTTATACAGTAACGTTTATCCAAAACATAAAAAACAAAACAAAAATGGCAACACAAAACATACATCATTGAAAGACAAAAAAAAAACGATTTTAGAGGACACTGAATATACATCAACGCGCCCAAATGTTTTTTTACAAAATAAAGGTATAACCTCAATTTCTCACCCCGAAGAATAGAAAACAAAAAAAAAGCAAGAAAAAATGGAGGTGCTACAAAGCCAAATAAGACAGAGTCCATAATACATAACCAAGGCTCCTCAATTCAACTAAAGCGGCGTCTCTTCATGAAAGCAAACTGTATTTTCCAATAAAAAAAACTTTCTCAGCAAGCTTCAAGAAGCACCACTAAATCTACCCCACATTGCTTTGCATTGGCAGCTTCTGCTGTGAATCGCGGCGGGCTCGGGCGACACCAAGACCCGCTCAGCGCTGCTGACAATGCTTCCCCAAGAAAAAAAAAAAGAACGGCCACCCATCCCCCGACCTTACCTCCTCGTCTAACCCCAGCCGCCTGGTTGTTCTTTGGGCTGCAGCCCGCGCGTGACGTCAGCGCACCGCCCGGGCTTTTGGTACTCAATCGTTGGGCTCGCCCCGGGCCCGCGGACAGCGGGTCGCGCCTCTTCCCGTCACCATCCACTGCTGGCGCCGGCGTCCTCTCTACGAAACCTTTCGGTGGGGCGTGTGTGTTTTATGGATCTCTCGGTTGGCACTGGTGACACAAAAACATCGCAACCGTTTTGGCGTTCTAGCAGGTTTTCTACACCGTGGTTTCGCCGTGGATGTTTATCGTAGCCACCGTTGCGCGTTTGTTGTGGGTTTTAAACGAGCGCACCGTGCGCAACAGATCTTGAAGGGGTATTGAAGGAATACCATCTCCCCCTTTTCAGAGTTGAATAACTTGAGAATACCGCCGGTGCCGCTCCCCATGTACAGACAGAAGACTTTGATGGGGCAAGATGTTTTCTTTTTTGCGCGCCTTTTTTTTCTTTATTACGCTTTATAGTTAGAGCCACTCCCCTTTTGTTGTTGCTTTTTGGTTAATACAAAGGTTACTGCGCTCCAAGGAAAACAAACACACGCACACATATTTTTGCATGCGT